AAGGTGAGCCTAAAAAAGAAGTAAGAGAAGAAAGATTTATAGAAATTATTGCATGGTCAGAACCACCTAAGGGAGAAAAGGGAGAAACTGAACATAAGCTAGGGTCAGAGACAAGACATAAGTCAAGGAGTGAAGGTAAATGATTAGGGTTGTCAGGAAAACGAGTCACAAAGTTAACTATCTGAGTAAGAGATTGAGAAACGCAGAAGTTAAAGGCTTTAGTGCCAGCAGGATCAGTGGTGTTAGAGCCAAGCCATTCAGTGTGATGGGCATTAAAATCACCAACAACAACAATATTGGCAGAGGGGTAAAGAGAGAGGGCATGGTCAATTTGATCAGAGATAACATCTAAGAGAGTGCAATCATGGGAAGAAGGAGAACAATAAAGAACAAAGAAAAAGGTTATAGAGGTGCAAAGGCGAAAGCACATAAAAGAATGGTCAAAGGACTCGAACCTGATTTCACGACAAATAGGGGAACTAATGCGTATGCATACCCCTAAACCTAGCATGTGACTATTTGAGTCTTTACGAATCAAAGGATAGTACCTATCAACACTGACATCTGAATTTAAATTTGTTTCACTAAATGCAAGCAAGTCTGGTGAATTTTGCAGGAGGTGAGACTCAACTGATGGAAAGTTGCTTCGTAGACCGCAATTATTTGTAAAAGATATATTAAAATATTTAGGTGGTGGGGATATTTAGGTGGTTTTTTAGGTTTTAAATTTTTGGTTACTTTGGTCATGATTTGGGTTAAATAAGAACTTGACTCATTCATAGATAGAGCACGGCCTCCTAATCAATGAGCTATGCAGTTGTCTCAGTCCTGTTAATTAACCCTAAGCCATGACAAAGGGCTCCTTATGTGGCCTTGACAATGTACACCAAAAGCATTAACAGGGACACCATCCATGTGCAACATGGCACTGTTAATACTCTGATATTTTGCAGCTGTTGATGGAGTCAGCCTCTCTGAGAGCTACCACAGAGTTCGGGAAACCTTACTACCAGCCGGCCTCAAAACCATTAAACTGAGTTTCAGAGCTGTACCCTCATATGGAGATAACAGGAAGAGTTGCATAGCCATTATCAAGGAGGCATAAGCAAAATTCTATGAGTAGAGTCAAGTAGATCCAGCATTCATCATCCTAGGCAGGAAACAATGTAACACAGGTTACATCTACGCCAGCCTAATAGATGAAGAAGGGGTTCGAGGCTGGTTAGCAGAATTTTTCTGCTTACCCCTAAAGTCTTTGCCTAGGAGGCCTTCTACAAGACATTAGCTGGATGCAGTTAACATCTGCCCAAGATGAGTGTTTTTATCGAGACACCATGTCTAGCCTTTACTCAACCAAGAGCCCCAAGGCAGGGGAATTTTTAGTCGGAGTTTATTTCTCCTAGCCTTTGCCTAAAAAGAGCACACTCTGCAAGGCAGCAGGGCTTTTGGCAGGTGGTACTGGGTTACGTGATACCAGTAGCAAGATTGATCTCGATTATCCTGACCTGACCTGGAGTAGTTAAAAGGAGTTACTTCCAGCAACAGTACTTTGAGAAAACCAGACACGATATTCTGGAAGTGCATTAGGAAAAACACTGCATCTAACAAAATACAGGAGTCTAAGTTGAGTGTAGGTTTTGTAGTTGGAGTATGTAGTTAGTTACTGAGCTCACGCTGCATTAGAGTATAAACAGAACACAAACAAACATAAATCAACTTACGGGTGAGTCAACACCGCGCCAGAGGTTCAGACAGAACACAAGCATACATAAAAAACATAAAGTAACTTACGGGTGAGTGAACACCCCGGCAGAGGTTCAGACAGAATACAAACATACATAAAAAAACATAAAAAACATAAAATAACTTACGGGTGAGCGAACACCACGCCAGAGGTTCAGACAGAACACAGACATACATAAAGAACATAAAGTAACTTACGGGTGAGCGAACACCGCGCCAGAGGTTTAGACAGAACACAAGCATACATATAACGTAGATTACAGGTGAGCTAATACAGTAACTAAGGCACCTCCAACTATATGAAAAAAAAAAAAAAAAAAATTACTATAGACATGACTGATATAAGATAGTACTGATGACAGGAAGAACACTTCTTCTAGCCTTTGCTTAGAAAGCAAATCTTGCAAGGCAGCAGAACATGGAACAGGTTGCACTGGGTTACATGTTACTAGTAACAGGATGATCATGAAGATCATACCATGGTGTAAAATGAGACTTGACTTTGAACTGATGAGAAGGAATAAAAGCTCCCATTCTTGCCTGAATCCAGAAGGTTATGTAGGAGGCACATTTGTCAGCTGAGAGAGTAAAGACATCAGCCCAAGGACAGTCACAGAAAATTACAAATAGAATCCCAGTCACCTTTAGGGTAGTAATAAGTAGTCCGATGATAGGGTGAGTCCAAAGAAGTACGAGATGGAAGATTTATAGAGATCATTGCATGGTCAGGGAATATGGTCATTTATAGAGATCATTGCATGGTCATGGAATATATATATATATATATAAATATAAATATATATATATATATATATATATATATATATATATATATATATATATATATATATATATATTTACTTTATACCAATTTATATAACAACACATTGATTAATTGGTATATAAATATATACCAATTGATTGGTATATATATATATATATATATATATATATATATATATATATATATATATATATATATATATATATATATATATATATATATATATATAATATATATATATATATATTTATATATATTAATATATATATATATATATATATATATATATTTATATTTATATTTATATATATATATATATATATATATATATATATATATATATATATATATATATATATATATATATATATTTATATATATATATCAGCCTTGTCACGCTTAAAATAAATTTTTCAGAAAACGTGACCACGGCAATATTTCGTAAGAAAGGGGAAATTATCCACAGAGAATAAAAAATAATATTAAAAAAATGAAACGAAGTAAAATGTAATAAAAATATATTGATAATAAAATAAAATAATAAAAAAAAAAAATCTGTAACAAAAAATAAATGTTTTAAACATTTTTTTCGAAGTTTTTATACTGTTGTTTTCTTTTATTAGGGTTGCTATTTTCAGCTACAAAATTTGATTCAAGTCAAGAAAAAGACGATGATAAGTCATAAAGTTTTCACGAAAATAAAAAGGCTTGATACGTAATTTATTCACGAACTTTATCAGACAATGTATTAAAAAACTGATTCATTATTTACGCTTGACAAATTTGGTTAAACTTTTTCATTTAATTTAGTTTTTACAAAGGTTTATGCAAAGGCAATGACTTTATTCCCTAATACTTAGACAAGAAAATAAATTGCTGCTTTAATTATTAAATATATTATTTGAGATTTTAAACATAACAAAATTTTAATGTGAAAAAAGTTCTTTCTCGACTTATTCTAAAATGCGGTAGTGGTGTAGTGGTAGAGCGCTCGCTTTATAAACGAGTGGTTCTGAGTTCGATCCCCACCACGTCCCTGGTAGTACCGCGCTCAACTCGTTTCTCCGCGCAGCGGCCTTGTTCGTCAAGGTTCGTGTTTCGGAGTTATAGAGTTGAGAGAGGGTTATAACCACAAATAAGTAGCCTCCTCGTCTGTAGTGGCCTTCTCGGCCTTGAGGAGGTGAATTAAAATAAAAAAAAAACTGATTATACTGAGTCAATGCTTGCCTACGTTGAAATTATTCAATTGTATAATTTTGTAATTACTAAGAAGTTAGAAAAATAATTGCATTGCTTCTGTTGTCATTGTTACAAAAACAGTTTCTTCGGGACATTATTATATATTAACACACGTTCACAATGTCAATTAATGTTTGCAAAATAAACAACTCAATCCTTTGACAATAAAATTTTCTTTCATTTAAAAAACAAAACAAACATATTTTAATAATAAATAGCAATCATTTCGTGTTTTCTTGCGTATCAATACATTCAAACATTAAAATCAATACATTTAAACATTTAAATGTATTTACGAAACATTTAAAAATTGTTTATAGTTTTATCGTGAATTTTAAAGTATTACTGACTGATAAAAGTCATAAACAAATTTTACATTAAAAGGTCTTTTTATTTTCTTTAAACATTAATCTTTTTCTTTTTGATTTGATTTTTTTTATTGATTTGATTTTTCATAGCTTAAATAACTACCACTCTAAAAAAATAAATAAATAAAATATAGGTAAATTTTTTTTTTTTAATAATATACATACATTTTTTATTTTTAAAGCACAAACAGATATCTGTTATTTACTTTAACATTGCTTGCATTTTTGTGGTATTTTCGTTTAGCTTTGTTTTGGCGCGAATTCTTGAAACGCATAATAATAAAACGTGGTCAGTTAGTCAGAAAAATTTATTCTATGCGTGGACAAACAAGGCGTGCGACGGCACGCCTTTCCTGGGAAAGCCTGATATATATATATATATATATATATATATATATATATATATATATATATATATATATGTATATATATATATATATATATACATACATACAGTCATGGCCATAAATATGAGAACGTTGCATTTTTTATAGTATGGCTTTTAGAACCTGAATATAACAAGCAGTTAACACCAATAACAATAAGTTTGTGTTTTAATTATAAAATATGATTAAATTATTAGTAAAAAAGCATCTTAAAAGCATGATTATCTCTAAAGTCAATATTTGGTGGGCTGCTCTTAGTTGGCTATAACAGCCCTTATCCTCTCAGGCATTGAATCAACTAATTTTTGGCAATATTCCAGCATTATTTCTTGAGTATAAACAGTCATGATGGCTTTCTTAAGGGTGTTTTCGGAACTAGGATTCTTCGTAAGAACTTTCCACTTCATCATCATCAATAAATTTTCTAACTATAACCTTAAATGAGAAGTCAAAAGTAATATTTTTATAACTTTTATTTAGATTCTTCAAATACACCTGATATTGCTAGCAAAATTTATGTCAAGAAAGGTAGTTATATTATATCAATGATGATGATGATGATGATGATGATGATGATGATGATGATGATGATGATGAGGATGATGAGGATGATGAGGATGATGAGGATGATGAGGATGATGAGGATGATGATGATAATGATGATGATGATGATGATGATGATGATGATGATGATGAGGATGATGATGATGATGATGATAATGATGATGATGATGATGATGATGATGATGATGAGGATGATGATGATGATAATGATGATGATGATGATGATGATGATGATGATGATGATGATGATGATGATGATGATGATGATGATGATGATGATGATGATGATGATGATGATGATGATGATGATGATGATGATGATGATGATGATGATGACATATGATTTATATTTAGATATATCAGAGATTTGCGCAGCACTGAAAAACTATTATCTTGTAAATTATGGAAAAATAAATGAAGTTCAACCACTACTAAAAACACCTGCAAATGTTAATCTGATAAATACTTTTGTTGATCTTTGTATTGTTGATGCAGTGAATACTCAATTGGATTTTGTTTTCAGTGTTGAACGAAAAGAATTTCTTGAAAAGCAAAAGAGTTATACACCAATTCCATATAGTGAAATATTTATGAAAGAAAAATCAGTAATACTAATATCTGGAATAGCTGGTATTGGGAAAACATGGTTGCTCAGAAAATGTTTACTTGATTGGTCAAATAATTTAATTTGGAAAAATGTTGAACTTGTTTTTTATTTAGAATGCAGGAGACTTAATCAACATCAAAATATTTCTAATATTAATGATTTATTAAATGTTTTCTACAATGATATTTTAAACGATTTTAATATTAGTAATCATACTGCACTGTTTATCATTGACGGATTAGATGAGTTTATATATTTCAATGAATTATTAAATCCAAGTTTTAACTACCCAGTTGTTAATACTTTAACAGATATTAAAAAATATAAACATGTAATTGCTGGTAGAGTTTATGCAATTGATCAATACCAAAGTAAATATACAGAGCATAGTGACAAGTCAATTATTCAAATAATGGGTTTTAATGAAAATGGAATCAACAATTATATAGAAAACCATGTTAAAGAGGAAAAAAAAGAAGTTGTAAAAACAACTTTAAAGGATTCGCCTATTGCAAAAGCCATGGCATCTGTTCCATTTTATTTATCTTCAATGTGTAAAATTATTAGTGATTCAAATAAAATATATACAAATTCATTCTTAACTATGACTGATTTATATGCAAATATTTTTTTATACTTTTTGCAAAAACACATCATGAAAAATGATAAATTGATATATGAGATAATGGAAGACAGTTTTAATAAAAGATATATTTTAAATATTTGTAAAATTGCTTATGAGTTGTTTATTAAAAATAATATAATATTTTCCAAAAAAGATATTGAATATTTTATCAGCGACTTTGATCAAAATGATGGTAATCTTTTTGGATTTATCGAAAAAGTTGAGACAAATGTAGGCTGTTATTATCAATTTGCGCATTTGACAATAATGGAATTTTGTGTATCTGTATATGCATATAATTGTTTAAGTCGTAAAAAAATTATGGCTAATGAAAAGCTAAGAAGTTGTTTATCAATGATTTGTGGATTAACTAACAATAAAAGCCAAAATAGTTTATTAAAGTTTCTTGTTAACCTAAATCCTTCAAATGAATCTTTACCTTGGTTGTCTATTTTTGGTAAGTTAATTTAGATAAACATACAGGTGTTCAATAAGAATATTTTCCAGGTTTGTTTTAGACAAATTGGTCACAGTCGTTTGTAAGTTTTATAATATAATAATCATTGTGGAAAAAGTTTCAAAAACAAAAAATACAAAACTAACAAAATAGGAAATAAAAAGAAATTTAAATAGAAAAAAATTGAAATAAATTAATAATTTAAATAATTTGCAAACTGTTTTAATTTTTGTTTCGTTACATTCAGCAACAAATTAGTTAAGGTGAAGCAAAATAAAAACAGTTTTAGTTTGCATTAAAAAGTCTGATAAAAGTCTACAATAAAAAGAATGATTTTTCTTTATTTAACTTTTTTTAAAAAAGAAAAGCGAGAATATAAATTGCAATGTGTTTGTAAAATATATTTTTATAATATTAATGGAATTAATATAATAATAATAATAATATAATATTAAAGTTTATATTCTACAAAGGTTGGATTAAGCAATCACAAAATGCAAAAATGGAAAAATATCTTCAAAAGTGATCTTTTCAAGGAGCAAATCAACTTATATTTATTAACAAAAAAATTATAAAAAATAAAACAATAAATTTACAACTGCAAAAGTAATAACAGTCTAGTAACTAACTGCATTATAAAAGTAATAACACTATAATAGTGTTATTACTATGTTACCTATTGTACAAAAGTAATAACACTATAATAGTGTTATTACTATGTTACCTATTGTACAAAAGTACAATAAATAGAAGTTTTTAATAATATTTTAATATCCACTTTATTCTAGATGCTTTTCTTCTTTAATTAATGCTTGGAATTACTAATGTTGTTTGAGCAAAGAATGAACCTTAAAAGTATTAAGTGCTATATAAAAGTAATAACATTTTTTAAAGACCAGATATTTTTCAGAGTAAGCAAATCTCGATAACTTAATTTTCAACTCTTGATATGTACTCGTTACATTAAAGTTATACAAATATATTTTACAAACAGATGACAATTTCTTCTTTGAGAAAAACAAACAAATAAAATATAGAAAAATCATTCTTTTTAATGTTTAAAACTTTTGTAATTTTGCTTTCATTGTTTTTAAAACATTTTTTCAGCAACGCATACAATAAAACTTTCAAACGGTCGTGACTAAGTTATCTAAATTAAAATACTTATTCGAGGACATACAAGACGAAAAACTACATACGTTTCCTGGGAAAGAAATTAAGAATTTAAAAATTTAAAAATTTTTGACATTAAATGTCAAAATTGTTTTAAATGATTTAAAAAATCTTTTTTTTTAGTTAAGTTTATATGTTTGTGTAATTTATATGAGTGTGTATGTGTGTTTAGTAAAAGTTTCAACATTTTCAAAATGTTATTTATAATTATATAGTTTATTAAGTACAAGTTAAGAAACAACTTAAGTTAATAAAAATTTAAAAACTTATTACAAACTTTTCAATAACTTTTATTAAGACAGTACTTGGTGGCATATCTCTTTGTTTTTAAAACAGCATCACAACAATGAAGCATTGAATCAACTAAACTAATAAGAACATTATGATGAATGTTATTTCAACATTTTTTAATAATTGCAAATAAAAGATATTTGTTGATTGGTTGATTCATTTGCATCTGGCAAAATAACATACTACATAATATGTAAACAAACTCTTTTATTTATAGTACTTTTTTTGTGATGGGTGGTACACAATGGTGGGAAATTTTTCAATTTCTTTTAAAAATAGTTTACCTCCAAATCAAAATATTAAATTGTGTGTTATAACTTAACAATGTACATTAATTAATATTACATGTCTAGTAGCCAACTATTATGGATACTATGGCATTGCATTTGCTTAGTATTCTCTATATTTATGATTAATATTTATCAGTACATTACTGTTTAATACTTTAAAAAAATTTAGACAGTAATTCGTCTTTTTTTCTGCAGGCTGAATACAACTCCTGCATCACTTTTATTGCATGTTTCGTTCACTAGTTGCTTCTTGGTGTCTCAAGTGCCAATGGTTTCTGTGTCCTGTTTTTCTATAATATACCGAATAATACCTGAAACCTCTTCTTGTAGGTTTCTGTATTTGTGACAAGTTACTGTAGTCTTATTTGTTGTAAATTTATTCAGCAAATCAATACTTTGCTCCGTCTTAGAATAAAAATCTTTAGGTTTTCAGTAATGTTGCACTGTTTTAGATATAAAAACAAAAGCAAGAATGGCAAGAATGGCTCTTGAAAAGTGGTTAATATCCTTTTTCTTAATAGGATTTGAATTCTAAAGTCAAATGATGCAAGAGTTTCATGTTATCTCTCCAGCCTGACTTATAGATATTCACTTCTGTTCCAATCACAAGTTTTGCTTGCATTTCCTCATAACTGTTCCTCAACAAAAATATTCTTTTTGGTAATTTTAGCCTATTTGGAATGAGTTTATAGAATAAGATTAAATTACAACTTCAGACTTATCTAACACTATATCACTATCATTAGATAAGAGATCATATTTAACTAATGTAGTTGATTTATCAGGTAATTTTCTTTCGTTTGACAGATAAATCATTTCTTTGCCTGCTTCCTTACAGGTTACACAACCAACTTTTCCTCGACTTTCTACTTGTAGAATAGATCTTCAGCTAACAACTATTACCTGAATGATATATGTATATATGTATATATATATACATATATATATATATATATATATATATATATATATATATATATATATATATATATATATATATATATATATATATATATATATATATATATATATATATATATATATATATATATATATATATATATATATATATGTATATATATATATATATGTATATGTGTATATATGTATATATATACATATATATATATATATATATATATGTATGTATATATATGTATATAAATATATGTATATATATATATATATATATATATATATATATATATATATATATATATATATATATATATATATATATATATATGTATATGTATGTATTTGTATATATATATTTAAAATAAAAACATTAATTATAAATTAAAATATTAACCATTAAAAATCATCCAGACCACCTAACTGTTTTAATATCTCTTACTAATATTCTTGTTTCAAAGCAACTTTCTATATGTTAAATTTTACCTCTCGTTAAATTACCAAATTCTTCCTTCTTGTGATCTCAATTTATTAAATAAAAGTGATCTCAATTTAAAAAATAAAAATCAAAGGATACCTATTATGTTAATAGGTATCCTTTGATTCGCTAAAACATCAAGCGTTACATGCGTAATTATAGGTTGATTGATACATACGCATCAATCCACTTATTAGTTGATTATGTGATTTCAAGTTTGAATTCTTTGACCATTCTTTTATGTGTTTCTGCTTAGCACCTCTTCACTTTATTAACTGTCTCTTTGTTGTTTATTGTTCTCCTTTCTCCCAAATCTGCACTCTTTTAGATGTAATTTCAGATCGTATTGACCATGCTCTCTCTCTTTACCCATTTGCTAATATATTGTTATTGGTGAGTTTAATGCTCATCACACTAAATGGCTTGGCTCTGGTGTCACTGGCGCTGGCACTGCCACTGACCCTTGGACTGCCACTGACTCTGTGTGTCTTGATCTCTTACTCTGATAGTTAACTTTGTGACTGGTTTTACTGACTACCATAATCATTTACATTTACTTCTTGATTTATGTCTTGTTTTTGATCCTACCTTGAGCTTAGTTTCTCCGTTTTCTTCTTTAGGTTATTCTGACCATAAAATGATTACTTTAAATCATTTATTTTGTCCTTCCTTTTTGGTACCACCCTATCATCACAATACTTACTACTACCTAAAACTGACTGGGAATCTTTTTGTGATTTTCTTTGTGACACTACCAAGGCTTATGTTTTTTCTACTCAATTAAAAACTGAGTGGGAAAAACTTCCTGGATTCAGGCAGGAATAAAAGCTTTTATTCCTTTTTGTTGGTCAAGTCAAGCTTCATTCTACTCCATGGTTTTCACCTACTAAAAATATCTAATAGCTTACTGCTACAAGTGAGTGGGAGTGTTGCTACATCAACTATCTAAAAGGCTGCTGCTATAAGTGAGTGCTGCTACATTGACTATCTTTTAACCTGTTGCTCTAAGGAAGTGTCACTATATCGACTGAGGTTTTGGTTGGGGCAGGTAGTCTATCAAATATTAAAAAAAAATAATTTTTTTTTTTAAAAAAAAAGTTTAAAATTTTTTTGCGTTCTTAAAATCAATTATTTTTTAAAAAACCTAAAACTGACCTGACAATAGTAAAATTAAAAATGACATAGAAAGGATATACATTTAATAAGATCCCCACCACGTCCCTGGTAGTACTACGCTCAACTCGTTTCTCCGCGCAGCGGCCTTGCTCGTCAAGGTTCGTGTTTCGGAGTTATAGAGTTGAGAGAGGGTTATAACCACAAATAAGTAGCCTCCTCGTCTGTAGTGGCCTTCTCAGCCTTGAGGAGGTGAATTTAAATTAAAAATAAATATATATATATATATGCATACAGGGCTCAAAATAAGCAATGTACATCAGACATTGTCCAGCACTTGTCCGGTAAAAAATGACATCTATCGGTCATTTTGTCTGACAAAAATTTTATGTGAATTTATTTTCTAATCGTTTTAGTTGTTCTAAAATTTTTAATAAATTCAGTATTGTATGAACTTTATTTTTTTAAATTGAAGTTGAAAAACATTACTTTTAGTTGAATTAAGTAGCTTTGTTTTCATCATTTATATTTAAATGTTGCAATTTAATTTATTCATTTAAAGTTTATAGTTTAGCGTTAGTTTTTTTTGTCCAATGGTTCTCATAAGTTTCAAACAAATATTTTAGCTTTTAAAACCTCTTTTAAATTTATTTTATAAAAACTTATACATAATAGTTCACTCCATATATATGTTTTTAGCCAAAAAAACAGGGGTCCTAAAAGTAACGACTCTGACTCCAGTTGTTAAAGTTTTTTAAGCACAACTCCGACTCCAACTCCGACACAACCTCCAAACCAAACTTTATAAAAATTCTTCGAATTCTTTAAAAAATATTATCCGATAAGTTAAAAATTCCTTTTTTGACTAATTTATGAAATATTGTTTGAGGTTTGTTATAAACATAAGGTTAATGTAATGTTTTGTACATGCGATTTAGTTTAACGACTCTGACGCCGAAAATGCCGCAACTCCAACTCAGACTCCACATCCCTGGCTGAAAATTCAAATAACTTATCATGGCCAATGACATGGGTTTCGAAATGGAGGGGCACAATTGTTAATTTCTAAAAAAAGTCCTATAAGCCTGGGATTTTCTTTATAAAAAAAAGAAAAAAAAGACTTAAAGCACCTACCCACCACCACCACATTTAGAAAAAGGTGGTAGTGGTGGGTAGGTGCTTCATTATCCCCTCCACCTCCCCTCACACTGTTTTGTAAGCCCTGCTTATTAAGTCTTACTGCAAACCTATTTCAAATAGTACATCTGCTTTGTAAAATAAGATTATTCAAAATATTGAGAAACCGTTTGTGTCAGATACTTATGAAATTTTGATAAATGTGAGTGTTACGGTAAGTCTTTTAGTTATTGTTTTTCTTTTTTTATCAACTATTATGATTTTTTTACTTATTAGCATTGACTAAAATCTTTTTGTTATCTATTAATTATTTTTTCTCGATTAATTTTA